TGTACCTCAGCTCGTTAGAGCATTGTCATGATAGGCCAAGATTATGGGTTCAATCCTTGGTCAGGGCACCTATAAGAAGCAACCAATGAATGCATAAATAAGTAGAAGAATAAATCAATGTTTCTCTCTTCCTAAAATCAATCAATAAAAAAAAATTAGAAAAAAAAAGTGAGTAAAGAGGGGAGGTGATCTCTTTGAGAGGCTTGGCTGTGAAGAGAAGAGAGTCATAAGGTTAAGCCAGAAGGCTGGGGGAAACTTGAGGCTGTTCGTCACCCAAAGAGCATGGCTCCTAGTAGTCACTCAATAAATGTTATCGCACTGACTAAACTGAGGGTGAGCTTGAAGATACAGGAAAGGAAGGGATTGAGGGAATAAGGCCCTTGAGGGAGACGGGTTGACTGCATGAGTTACATCTTGAAAGTAGACAGGCATGCTCTTTCATTAAAATAAACGGAAATAGAAGGCATGGAGGCTGAGTGTGGAATGTAGGGTATGTTAGCTGGAATGAGAGGAAGGCATTTTCACAGATTATAGGGTCAGGAGATAACTGACTTTTATACTTCTATATCTCAGAGGATTTCAGGTTTAGCTCTGACTCCAGTTTATTATTATTATTTTTTTAATATATATATATATTGATTTCAGAGAGGAAGGAAGAGGGAGAGATAGAAATATCAATGATGAGAGAGAATCATTGTTTGGCTGCCTCCTGCACGCCCCCTATTGAGAATCAAGCCCACAACCTGGGCATGTGCCTTTGGCCAAAATTGAACCTGGGATCCTTCAGTCCGCAGGCAGATGCTCTATCCACTAAGCCAAACCAGCTAGGGCCCAGTTTATGATTTTATCTGGAAACAATATCTAACCTATTTAACATTTGGTGGGCACTTATTAAGTTGCTGCTTTTACTTCTATGGTCCTAGAACAAGGTAAGGCAGCTTGTTACAATTGTACCTAAAGTAAAAGAATGTAGGTTGGCCCTGGCTGCTTTGGCTCAGAGGACAGAGCATCAGCCTGCGGACTGAAGGGTCCCGGGTTCGATTCCAGTTGGACGCATGCCCTGGTTGTGGCTCAATCCCCAGTAGGGGGCGTGCAGGAGGCAGTCGATCCATGGTTCTCTCTCATCATTGATGTTGTTATCTCTCTCCCTCTCCCTTCCTCTATGAAATCAATAAAAAATTAAAAAAAGAATGTAGGTTGGGAAGAACATCAGCAGAGGAACCAACATCTCCTTTAAGGAAAAGCCACTCAACTGCCACAGGGAGGAAATAACTTGCAAGCAATGTGGACACATTTTAGAGGTGAGATAATACAGGTAACCACAAGATCCTTCCTGGACTGGGCTAGCAGGTAAAATAGTTTCACTATAAAAGTCTGCAGTGCACCTTTCAATTCTGCCAAACAATAGCTGTCATTTCCTATTTCCTGTGTGTCTTGCAGGTACTAGACCTGGCACTTATCTCCAATCCTCAGAACAAACCTCAAGGGAGATTGTATTGCTCCCATTTTGCTGATAAGAAAATTGCAACTCAGAGAGATAAGTGATTTGCTCAAAGCCAACAGTCAGCAGTCAGGATGGAACCCAGGTTAGGATGAGAGCTTTTCCCTACACCAGTGGTTTTGAATTTTGCTCCAGGGAATCTCCCCTCCCCCTTTCCTACTGTCTAAGACAGAGACAGTGGGTGTGGAGCTCATCAACCTAGTCTCAATTTGTTAGTTTTACACCTGGGGCTTCAAAATTAGATTTATTAGATCAAAATCTATTGAGAAGAAAAAAAAGTTTGGAAGCCACTGACCTTTATGGGGGTCTTTGAACTTCTCTGCTGAAGCATGACTTTTCTTGGTTTTCTCCAGAAACACTGCTTCTGTGATTCGTTTTCCCCAAGGTATCTCCCCTAGCACATCCATCCTCAACAGAAGGATTTTGGTAAAACTTCATGTTACTCCTCTGCTTGGAAACCTTCCATGGCTCCTAGGACCCTTAAGTGAAAATCAATGACTTCTTTTAGCATGACTTATGAGACCCTCAGTGATCTGGACCCCCACCCACTTCTCCAACTTTGTCATTAATTACTCCCTAGCTCCAACCTTCCTGCCAAACAGACTGTCCTACATTTCCTGGTACTTGGTGTACTGGCCCTGAGACACTGCACTGGCTCTGCCAGGAGGCCCCTCCCCCTTCTCTGACCATCTCCCACTCTCCCAGGCCTCAGATCAGGAATTACCTTCTTCCCTGAAAGCCTTTCCAGCATCTTCCAGCGTGGGCCAGGCCCTGCCCTCTGAGCAGCACCCTTCCCCCCATGTTTACACCTCACAGCCCTACTTCCGGTCTCCTTTCTCCTCTGCAAGCCCCACTAGAATGCAGTTTCGCATCATCTGCTCAGCTCCGTTTTGCTTCCCAGGAAAGAAGTTTCTCAGGGAATTTGTTCTTTCTCTTGGGGTAAGCATACCAGTCTTGCCTCGAAAAGCATACCAGAAATGCCAATGGCTTGATGTTAAGCATGGAGAGTTTTCAGGATGGGAGTACGTCCCCTGCAGCCAAACCTCAATTTTACATGGAGGAGGTAGGCTAGGCAATATCACATGATGAGAAAAGTCTGTGGGGGGAAAATAGCTGACTACAGGAAAAACTACAGAAAGCCGCTTTCAAATCTTCTAGCTGACTTGGTTTTCATTTTGGAAAGAGCCAGGCGGATGCTGGCCTCAGGTCCCCAAATCTGCTAATAGTTAAGACGCTTAGGTTCAAATTTAGCCTATGGGGAGGAGACTACTGATATAAGTGTCCTTTGAATGTTGGGCAAAGGCACATGCTAATCTTCCCTCCAAGCCTGCAGCCCGCAGACTCAGCCATGTGGCAGGAAGGCTCTGCCCTGGCAGCCTTCACCAAGCCCAACCCACCTTGGCAGTTGTCAAGGGGGAGGCTGTGGAACAGAAACTGAAGTCTTGCATCAGTTAGCCAATTTGTATCTATAAAATGGGCACAAAAGATGCGGGGGGGGGGGCGGGTAATGCCAGCTGCTGATGCCAAATGCCAGAAGCCAGGAATAAATATGTTTTAAGGTGCCATTCCTAGAGACCTGGGACAGGCAGAAAACACCAAAAGGAAGGGTTTGGATCATTTCCTGGATGAGAAGAATCTAATGAGTTATTAAGGGAAGGGGGGATTGTTTGGGGGCACAGAGTGGGTAATAAAAAAGAGCAAAGAGGCCCACTAGGTGGGCAGAGATGAAAATTTGGAAGTCTGGGCACAGGGTGGTTTCTGTATTCTGCAGTGACTCAATTTCTCCCTGGTGTTCAAGGACTGAGATGGGAGGGCTTCAGCCACACCAGTCCATTGCAAGGGCTACAGGAATACAGCACTATTTTTTTTTTTTAAATATTCTCTAAGCCGAAACCGGTTTGGCTCAATGGATAGAGCTTCGGCTTGGGGACTGAAGGGTCCTAGGTTCGATTCCAGTCAAGGGCATGTACCTTGGTTGCAGGCATATCCCCAGTAGGGGGTGTGCAAGAGGCAGTTGATCGATGACTCTCTCTCATCCATGTTTCTAACTCTCTCCCTTTCTCTTTACAAAATCAATAAAATATATTTAAAAAAATATTCTCTAAGGCAGCATGTATATTTAGAAGCTTTTTTCTTTTACCATCTTTCTTCCCCCTATACACAACTCTAGTCTCCAACTGCTTTCCCCTCCTTTCAGTTCAATTGTTTGGGAACACTTTTTCAAACTATAGATTATATATTAAGCGTAATTTTAAAAAAGCAAATGATGAACTAGCCGGTTTGGCTCAGTGGATAGAGCGTCGGCCTGCGGACCAAAGGGTCCCAGGTTTGATTCCGGTCAAGAGCACATACCTTGGTTGCTCGCTCCTCCCCAGCCCTGGCCCTGGTGGGACCACATGCAGGAGGCAATCAATCGATGTGTTTCTCTCACATCAATATTTCTCTCTCTTTCCCTCTCACTTCCACTTTGCCTAAAAATCAATGGAAACATATCTTTGGGTGAGGATTAAAAGAAAAAAAAGCGAATGATGATGATTAAAGCCCTATCACAGAAAAAAGTGCCAGAGGGTGTGTCTCACTGGAGGGCAGAAGTCCAGGTAAATGACATGACTCATCACAAAGTATCAGCAATGTACATCTGGAGGCTTTCTCCTTTTGCTGCCCTTCTTTCCCCTATACACAACACTAGGAGACTGAGCCAGAGCCCAGACCTAGATGCTCACGAGCTCAATAGTTAAACCGTGGGTCTCTACTCAGAGTCAAGGTGAAAGGAGCTCCTTCAGTGCACAGCTTAGCCATTTGCTCTGAGAATGAGGTCCAGAGCCTGGCCTGGATTACTAGCTCCTGGCCATGGGTGGGTGACCTCTTCCCTGCAAATGTTGGAAGCTTCCCCCACCTCAGTGGTTAATGAAAAAAATCAAAGGACAGTTTTGTCATGTGAAAGGAAAACAATTCCACTTTAATATGCTTAAGAAGTCATCCATGATACATTTGAAAAAGTACCAGTAAGCCCTGGTTGTCTCAGGAACAGGGAGCCAGGGGCTGACTCTGGCAGCACAAAGTGACCCTTTAGTAGCCAAGTCAAGCCTGCAGTTAGGCGTTTACTCTTCATCAGGGGTTTACAGTCTTAACTCGTTCTAGTAATAAGCCAAAACTTGTGCCAGATCAGAAATGGCTACTGGAAGCTTAACTTTCCCTCTCCCAAGCAGGACCGCGCTCCTGCCCCTAACTCCAACTCCTTTTGGGATTGGGCTCTTGGTCTTTGCTCTCTCTTGGTTGAGGGGGAGGGGAGCGGCTGGGGGTGGGGTAGGACGCCTGGACTCCATGTCTCCTGGCCAGTGACTACAGGAGACTGTACCGGAGACAGACGGGATGTGGTCTGCTCATTGCAGGCCCATTTCTCTGGGCCGCATAGCCCCTTCAGTGGGATCTGGGACAAGAGAGGACCAAGGCCTCGCTACAGTGGCGCGGTCCCTCTGCACTCTCGTCCACGTCGCTCTCAACGGTCCTGGAAGAAGGGGAATATCTGGCGAAAAAAACCCTGAATTTGCGCCATCCGGCTGCCCGCCGAGTCCTTCTCCTTGCTGGGCAACGCCACCTCTCTCGTCGTCGTCGTCTCCGCGGCCATCGCACCCAATGAGTTCAGAGTCCTTCGCAGCGTCCACCCGGTGGTGGGGGCGGCGCCGCTGCTGCTGTTGTTGTTGGCGTTGTCCCGCTCACTGTCGCTCGCCTTCTCCCAGTCTTCAGCCCCTGACAGCTCTCGCAGGCTCCAGGGTGCGTCGGGCTTCAGGTAGTAACAGGCCCGGTGGCCGCTGTGGTCACGGCGCGTGGGGTCAGCTCCCAAGGCGCCCACCAGCACCTTGATGACCAGGTAGTGGCCCTGCAGAGCCGCCAGGTGAAGGGGCGTGAGGCCGCCGCTGCCCGGGGCGCTCACGTCGAGCTGCAGACCCCGGCGCTTGGCGAATTCGTGCACCAAGATGAGCTCCTCGTGGCGCCCGTGCTTGGCCAGCCAGTGCAGCACCGAGTAGCCGGTGATCGGGTCGCCCCGAAGGAGCAGCGCCGGCTCGGCTTCCAGCAGCTCCCGCAGCACCTCAAAGCGGCCCTCGGCGGCCGCCAGTATCCACGCGTGCTCCCGGGGCTCCAGGCACAGCCTGCCGCTGCCCGCGCCGTTCGGCCCGCCCGGGGGCTGCTCCTCCGTGCGCCCCTCGGGCTGCCACCCGGCGGGAGCGGCTCCCTGCAGCCCCAGCAGCTCCCGCAGCATTCCCCGCCGGCGCCCCGAGCCCGCTCCCGAGTGCGTCAGCGAGCCATGCACGGAGGCCTGCCGGGAGGCGGTGGCGGAGCCCCGGTACCTGCCGAGGCTGACGGCGTCCACTCTGGAGGGGCGGGGCAGCGGGCAGCCCCGCAGGCTGTGCGCGCTCCAGGGCAGGGCGGCTCTGGGCGCCGGCGTCGCGGCTTGTCCGGGCTGGGCCATGGTCCCGCCGCTCCGCCGCCGGCTCCGCGTCTCTAGCGTTCGCAGCCCTTCCCGGGCCCCACTAGGAGAGGAACTGGCGCTGGGGAAGGAAGCGGCTTGAGCAATTGGGCTCCGAGGGAAGAAGGGAGGGAGCAAATGAGGGGAGGGGAGAGGGGGGGAGAGGGAGAGAACGAATGAGCCGAGGGAGGGCCCCCGCGCGGGCGTGGGAGCGTGGAAGGGGAGTCCGGTGCGCTGGGTACCGCCGCCACCTCTGCCGCCCGATTGCGGGCGGCCCCGCCCCCAAATGGCCAGGTAAGCTGGGAGGCCCCGCCTCCTGGCCCGCGGGGGGGTGGGGGAGAGGGCTGTTAGCGGCCCCCAAAGTCGCCCCGAGCAGCCCAACTGCCCAGCAGCCGTTCTCCGCATCCCAGCAGCTGCCGAGAGGAAGAGGTTCGAGGGCGCCCCCTCCTCGGCGGGCTGAGCTCGGCTGCCAGCCAAGGCTCCTGGGTGCTCTCTCCCCGCCCCCTTCCTTGGACCGTCCTTCTTATCTCCTCAAGAGTCTCCCTGTACTTTGTCCCGGGGCCGCCTTTGTCCCGAGCCTAGCATTCACGGAGGCCGCCTGGCTACCCCGTGTGACTCGCCTGCTCTGCCCTTTGTGCTGTCATTCCCGCAGCGCCCAGAGCTATGCGGGATTCTTGCAGAAACCTGAGACCAGGGCCCAGGTAGAGAGTTTCCAGGAATGGAGAAGGGGTATTCCACTGCCCCACCCACCCCAGGTCCCTGCTCCACCCTCTTCTCTCCTCTTTAACCTCTCCTGGGTTGGCTGAAGAAGCAGGTGCAGGTGAATCTGAGTCAGAGGCTAGGGGAACTCCCTGCCCTCTTCAGAGATGTGTCCTGCTCTCTCCCTCAGGGACCTGCTGATTTCTGTGAATCCAGAGCTTAGGGGCTTTTAAAAGACGATGATATTTTACCTTTGAACTCCTAACATTGGCCTTCTGTTTGCTCTTTCCTTCCCTCAATAAATGGTAACTCTTGCCTCCTGTCCCCTCCCTCACCCCATGTTAGGGAGTTCAGTCAGTGAGCAATTGGGAGCCATAGAAGGTTCTTGAGCTAGAGAGGAGCACAGCTATAATTAAAGTGATATTTAGGAAAATGATTATGGGAGAAGCAGAGGCAGAAAGTTAGGAGGCTGGTCCAATAGTGTAGGCCAGAGGGATGGGGGCTCACACCACTGGGCCTGACAGTGATGGAAAGTATCAGAGGTTTTTCCTCCTTGGCCCTCAAATATTGGGAATCAGCTCTAAAAATCTTGAGCTTTCCTTCATGACATCTTATGCATTTGTAACCCTTTTTAATTTACTCTAATATATTTCATCAACTCCTTACAGAGAAGAAGGGAAAGGGACAGAGAGCCAGAAAGATCAATCAGAGAGAAACATCAACCAGCTGCCTCCTGTACACCCTCCACTGGGGATGTGCCAGCATCCAGGGCACATGCCCTTGACTGGACTCGAACCTAGGACCCTTCAGTCCACAGGCACGCTATCCACTGAGTAAAACTGGCCAGGGCTGTAAACGCTTTTTAAAAAAATCCTCACCCGCGCTGAAACCGGTTTGGCTTAGTGGTAGAGCGTCGGTCTGCAGAGTGAAAGGTCCCACGTTCGATTCCGGTCAAGGGCATGTACATTGGTTGTGGGCACATTCCTGGTAGGGGGTGTGCAAGAGGCAGCTGGTCGATGTTTCTCTCTCATTGACGTTTCTAGCTCTCTATCTCTCTCCCTTCCTCTCTGTAAAAAAAATCAATAAAATATATATTTTTAAAAAAATCCTCACCCAAGGATATTTTCCCATGGATTTTTAGACATAGTGGAAGAGAGAGGGAAAGACAGAGAGAAATATCGATGTGTGAGAAACACATCCATTGGTTGCCCCCTGCATGTGCCCCCACCAGGGCCTGGGCCAGGAAGAAGCCTGCAATGGAGGTAGATGCCTTTGACCAGAATTGAACCCGGGATTTTTCAGTCCGCGGGCCGATACTCTATCCACTAAGCCAAACCGGCTAAGGCTGTAACCCATTTTTGAACATTTACTATGTGTCAGACTCTGTGCTAGATGTAAAACTTTTAGTCTTCCGATTGGCCTCAGGAACTAAGATTTTCCTCAGTTTGCAAGGAGGTTAGGCCACTTGCCCAAGGTCACCCAGCAGGAAGTGGCAGAGCAGGTCTGTGTGACACCATAGCCTTTGTTCTAGCACAGATCTACTGGTATCCAAGCCAGGCCTATTGGCTATAAGTCACTCCCACAAGCCCCAAGTTTCAGCCAAAGGGATGGACTTGTCCTAGTCTGAGTACATCTTGAACTTGCTCTCCTCTATCTAGAATGTCTTCCCTCACAGCTTCTGAATAGCGAGGTTCTTCTCCCTGTCCTTTAAGGTTGGCCTCAGTTTCCACTGCTCCAGTAAGCCGCCTCTGATTATCCCAGCCCAGCGTGATCACTCTCCCTCCCTCAATCCTCTGTTTGTATTGCTGCCTTGGCACCTGGCACAAACTTCCTTACGTTGTATTTCTCTCCCCTTGTTCTCACATGCCAGTCAAACTCCAAACTCTTTGTCCTCGGACAGGAAGCTCAGTTGATTAGAGCGTTGTCCCTATGTGCCAAGGTTTTGGGTTTGATCCCCGGTCAGGGCACATACAAGAATCAACCAATGAAGCATAAATAAGTGAAACAACAAACCTTGCCCCCCGCCCCCACCGTCTCTCTATAAAATCAATTAAAAATACTAAAAACAGAAATCTTAAAAGAAAAATCCTTCTAAACTCTTTGATGAGTATATCATACTATCCTGGGGCACCTAGCAGGTGTGTGAGAAATATTTATTACCTTCTTCTGGTTAGGCAACCTGGGAAAATGTGATTGTGTGTATATATGGCGGCGGGTGGGGGGGCATTGTATATGTGTGTATGTTGGTAGGGTGTGTCAGCAGCCAGAACCTTGATGTCCACTCCCACATTCCTGCCTTGAATTGGATTTTCAGGACATTGAAAGCAACTCGTAGATTTGGTCAATTCATTAAAAAAGTAATAATGACCAGTAGTTCATTCACTCAGCCGACTAGCCAAAGCCACCTCCTGGCCTTTGCTGACTCCTCAGAGTGGGCCCCAGCTTTCAGGGTTTCATTTTCAAAATGCACCCTGACTGACAAGCAGTTACTTCCGTTGCTCTGGAAACTCCCATCCACAGCCCCAAATCTGTAAACACCAAACCACACACATACACACGCACTTCCAGAATATGCAAACAGCTGCGGCAATATTTTTTTTAATCAAAATGCCAACACGGAGAATGCAGGAGGAAAGAATGCTTGGACTATTAATTTTCCTCACCACTAAGCAGGCATTTCCCTTTGCTATCAGCACTAATAATATCTCTGGTTCAAAGACTGCAAAGGCCCGTGACGCACGTGCCCTTGCTTAACTCTTTTATCAGAGACCAAAGCCACAGTGCCTCCCCTAGAAACTCATTTAATCTTTTCTTAGAGCTTCCTACCCCAGGCCACCAGCTGTATAGCATACAGAGTTCCCCAGAATCCCAGCACCCATCTCTATTTCAGTAGAGAGGGTCTCTGGAATTTGACACCTGGGAGTGGGACAGAAGGAGCAGAAAGCAGAAGGGAAAGCACCAACCCCCCTAAAACGGAGATGCCAGCCATCTGAGGAGGCTTCGCCTCTAAGGGAGTGGGGCAAAAATCCCTCAAGCCCTGGGAAACAGCCTCCCCAAGAGTCAGATGTAGGGATTTGCATTAGAAATGGTGGTACCAGATGTCTTTTCCAAATAACAACCTCTCCAATGTATTTACAAGTTTGATTACAGATCCTGGGCTATTGGAACTAGAAGAGATATTTTCTGCTTTTAGTTTATCTTTTTAGAATTTTGTATTTTTTAAAAATTGATTTCAGAGAAGAAGGAAGAGGGAGAGAGAGAGAAATATCAATGATGAGAGAGAATCAGTGATTGGCTGCCTCCAGCACTCCCCTTACTGGGGATTGAGCACAGAACTGGGGCATGTGCCCTGATTGGAAAGCGAACTGTGAGCTCCTGGTTCATAGGTTGATGCTCAATCACTGAGCTACACACACCGGCAGGGCAGCTTTAATTTATTAAAGAGAGAGAGAGAGAGAGAGAGAGAGGAAGTGAGAGAGTGAGAGAGAGATTTTTTGTTGTTCCACTTATTTAGCATTTATTGATTGCTTTTAGGAGAGAGTTTTTAAATATATATATATATATATATATATATTTTACAGAGAGGAAGGGAGAGATATTCTCTAGTTAGAAACATCAATGAGAAACATCGACCAGCTGCCTCCTGCACACCCCCTACTGGGGATGTGCCCGTAACCAAGGTACATGCCCTTGACTGGAATCGAACCTGGGACCTTTCAGTCCGCAGACCAGCGCTCTATCCACTGAGCCAAACCGGTTTGGTCAAGGAGAGATCTTAGTGCTTCGTTGATCATTTCTTCACCTTTCAGATGAGGTTTAAGTAACTGTCAGAGCGGATGGCAGAGGGCAGAGGAACTTAGAGCTGAAGTGTTGGGTGTACATTGAAAATCAATCTTGAAGAGGGAGCTCAGAAATCTTATTAGAAGTCAGCTGGGAATCATAATTGTCCTGCAAAAAAATTAACTTTCAGGCAGCTTTTCAAGAACATGTTTGGGAGGGGAGGAATGCCAAAAGTCACATGTGTCGCTGAAACCAGTTTGGCTCAGTGGATAGAGCATCGGCCTGCGGACTGAAAGGTCCCAAGTTCGATTCCAGTGAAGGACATGTACCTTGGTTGTGGGCACATCCCCAGTAGGGGGTGTGCAGGAGGCAGCTGATCGATGTTTCTCTCTCATATATGTTTCAACTCTCTCTCCCTCTCTCTTCCTCTCTTTGGCTCTCAGTGGAGTTGGCCAGTGGAGCTTACGTTCCCAGAAAAATCCAGGGATGCAAATAGGCAAGGGGGAATATGGGAAGGAAAGTCC